AGATGTCATCCAGGCATGTTTCAGTAATTTAACGGTCTCTCCTAGTTTCTTCAACAGAATGATGTGTGAATGTTGTGTAGCGATAGCGCTCTGAGGGGGTGTTACTTAGCACAGGGAGCAATTATAGTGAATTCTCAAAAATGAAACTACAGTGTTTTCCGGGCTATTAGGTGCGCTCTTAAGCCTCCAACCCCATCAAAAAACGACCGCGCGCCCACAGTCCAGAGCGCTCTATACATGAATCCACTCGGGTGTCCCAGCACGACTTCAGTAAACTACAAAGCCACAGCGCACGCAAACACACACGGAGCAGACGGCGACCGCACAGCGAAACACACCCACAGACACACTCATCACTCCACACGGAGGAACAGAACAGAGGAACGAACCGAAAAAACAAGTGCAATGTGCCACTTCTAGACACAACTGAACAACTGATTCACTGCGAACACGCCGACAATCCGTTGGTCCCAGACAGCACCCTCCCTACACGCCACAACTGAACAAAGCCCAGAGTCACCGTGAACGCAACAAACAAAGTCTGACTGAGCCATCCAACTGTTGTGTTTCCTTTAAAGTCCGGTGCGGTGTATATGTGAAAAAAGTTAGAAAATAGACCATTCTATGACAGCGCGCCTTATAATCCAGAGCACCCAATAGCCCGGAAAATACGGTAATTAATGAAACCAATCAAATTCCCTTTTTGAAACTAGCTTGTGGTCTAACTCTCCGAACCTCTAACCCCTTTTTTCCATCACATGTGTAGACAAGGACAAGGAGGACGCGATGGAGACCTCCTCCTCGGAGACGGAGAAGGACAAAGAGGACAAAGCCGCTTCAGACGAGGCCGAGGAGAGGAGGAAGAAACTGGTGCACGACATCGGAGAGGGCAACATCGCCACTGCCGCCGCCGCCGCCCTGGCGTCTGCAGCCACTAAAGCCAAGGTGAGACACGCCCACCCACATGTGCGTCTGCGATAATGGGCCTGATCTTGAACCATGTTTTAGTTTGGACTTACCCCACTTACTTTCTGCCGCTCTGATATTGCGCCATGACCTAGAAACAACTGTCTGGGAAATACAGCACCGGTCAGAAGTTTGGACACACGTCATTTCCTTTGTTCATTATTATTTGCACTGTAGATTCTAACGGAAGGCATCAGAATTATGAATGGACACAAGAATGTAGAAAACAAAAAAGTAAACTCCAAACTGGTTTTGGATGTTCATGATGTTTGAAAATAGCCGCCTTTTGCTTTTATCACTGCTTTTGACCCAGACTAGAGACACCTGTGAAGTGAAAACCATTTCAGGTCACTGCATTATGAAACTCAATGAGGGAAGACAAAAGGTTTGCAGCGCTGATGACCAAGTAAAGGGTGGTTACTTTGAAGATTAGAATTTATTTATTTTTTCCTTTGCTACATACTTCCATATATCTTTCTTCATATTAGGGATGGGCATTCGATGAAATTTTCTTAATCGAGCGACTCTCACCTCGCAAAACTTTTTCCCACTGGACACTGAAACGTGCTGCTTTATACACTGTGCACATGGACTCACACTTGTCCCGAACGCAACAGAAAGCGTGAAATTTCTTGTACAAGTCATCGTTAAATACACATTTGTGCTTCGATACGTTGCAGACTGACCAACTGTTTGTGTCTCGCTCCTTCTGCGTGCAGAGAGACACATGTACACACCTGTTTGGTCACGCTACGCACAGCAACCTACATTCGGTTTGTCGATTAAAATGAATGTAATCGATGAAATTCTTAATGATCAATTATCGATTAATCGACTAATCATGCCCATCCCTAGTCTAAACCTTTGGCTGGTAGTGTGGGGGTGTAGTCTGTTATTTTATTTAGTCGATAAATGGTTCGATGGAGTCTAAAATGACCAAAATTTGTATTAGTCAATTAATAATTTTCTGTAGATTATAAGGATTTATGTAAGACAACAGCAGAAAAAAGTGAAGGGGAAAGGAGTGAAAGAGTTGGCTCAAGACTTGCTATTTTTTTGGTGCTTATCTGTAAAAAGTCAGATAAAAGTCATAAAGTCATGATTTATTCTGTTTATTTAAATTGTTTCCTAGTACTTTTTTCTGCCTAAATACTTGTTTTTTTAGCTTCTCTATTAGTTAATATAGAGCAAATACTAATGATCATTTATTACAGTCTCTTATTTAGTGGCGTTTACTTTATAATGCAAGATGTGAAGAGCTGTTATCTTGCACAGAATAAATAAAAATCAGGTACAAGCCCTTTAACACACTGCTTGTCTCTTTTAGCATCTGGCAGCGGTGGAGGAGAGGAAGATCAAGTCTCTGGTGGCGCTGCTGGTGGAGACGCAGATGAAGAAGCTGGAGATCAAACTGAGGCACTTCGAAGAGCTTGAGACCATCATGGACCGCGAGAAGGAGGCGGTGAGTCCACACACACAGAGCCCTCTCATCATCGTAACATGTGAGCTGTAGAACACATGACCCATATACATACAGATCCTCCTAATGACTCTTCTCTACAAAGCCAAGTGAAGATGCTGTGTGATGCTGTGGCCCGTCCCTGGAGACTGTACTGAGAGTGCAAAACTCTGTCTGACTGAATAAGCACAGGGACTGTAGCCCAGTTTCCCAGCTGTAAATAGTGCATGAAAGAGGCAGGTTTACATAAGATTTCAAAGGGAGGCAGGCAACTGGAAGGAGCTACAGTGCCGCAGGCTGTGAGCAGTGGGCCGAGGCACAGCAACAAGTGTCTGAGCCCACACAGACTCCTGCTTCAGCACAGAACAAAGCCTGTGGAACTGCACAACTATCATGAGTGTTTAAACTAAAGGAAAAGGGACATCTCATTCTGCACAAAACACCTATGTTAAATGTTTTTCTGTTTTCATTTTCACATCCTCCTCACATGATCAAATCTCTGCTGCTCTCTTCACAGTTGGAGCTGCAGAGGCAGCAGCTGCTCACTGAGCGTCAGGCCTTCCACATGGAGCAGCTCAAATACGCCGAGATGAAGGCTCGCCAGCAGATGGAGCAGGCTGCAGCCGCCGCAGCTGCTGCTCAGGCACAGGGCCAGGGGCCTCCACAGGGGCCCGGACCACACCCAGGGCCCCACCCAGGACCTCACCCCGGTCAGCATCCAGGACCTCACCCTGGACCCCACCCGGGGCCCCCTCCTCCAGGCATGCATCCAGGAGGTCCCCCTCCACACCATGGAGGGCCCCCACCTCATCACGGGGCACCCCCTCCCCACCACGGAGGTCCCCCACCAGGTGCAGCCATGCACCCAGGCTATCCTCCCATGGGGCACCACCCAATGGCACCCCACCACCCCGGGCAGACGGGTAAGTGTTTACAGGGGCCACTTGTAAATTCTAGCACCAGTCTGGACAGAGACCAAAAGATGGAGACGAGACAGTTATACAGCAGTGTAATGCTCTGCTACTCTAATATTTATGGTTTCCCATTCCACTGCAGGCCCGATGGGACCAGGCCAGCCAATGCCAGGCAGGATGATGGCCGGGCCTCCCTCTGCTGGGCCTCCTCCTGGAGGCATGCCTCCTATGATGCCTCCTCGCCACCCTGGTGCTCCCAACGGCATGTGTGAGTGCAGATCCCATTACCACAACAACACAACACCATATTATACCATATACCATAAACACTATTAAACATTTCTGTCATATTTATGTAAATCAAATCATGTGCTGTGCTTGTTTTCCAGACCCTGGGCCTCCACCTGCGCAACCTGATGCTATCCCTGTAGCTCCAGTGGGGCCCCCAGCGCCCCCTGGTGGAAGAGTGTCTGACAACTAATGGCCCCACACTAGAAGCACACGTCCTGAACATGTTGTCGCTTTGTTGCCCTTTGCTACTTGCTCAAGAATTCTGTGAACTCTTCTGACAGGACACAAACAAAGACTGACCCAACATTGTCCACACTCACATGCAGCAGCTGTCTCCGGGGGCCCCAGCACAGGGGCTCGAGTATTACACTGTTTGTGCTTTGGGCCAGTGGGAGGCGGTGGGATGACTGTAAACATTAGTAATAGTGGTAGTTGGCTGAACAGATTTCTGATAGACACTGTCTCTGGGTTCTTGACACCCCTTTTTCTCTCCTGTGAGTGAGCCTGATACTGGAGCTGTTGACGTCAGCCTCACACATGCACAAAGAGGATCTAGCCTTCCCTCTCTCGTCCTGTTGAGTAACTACCTCTCGCTCCTGAGTAATACACTGTAGATGTGTGTGTGAGGTGCTCCTCCAAAACCACTGCTAATCCCAACTTTGATGTAATGTGCTTCATCCTGTTACAACTATTTAAGCTTCAATGTCAAGTCTGAGCCAGAGGTTTGGGGCTGTGTTGTTACAATCAAGTTGAATTCGATGCAGAAGCGATCAGTGCGGGTCGGAATGTTACCAGTATGTGTGAAGCGCAAACACGGGTCTATAATACAATAAGGTTTAACATAATAACTGTCCTTCCACCCTAGCACAATCTTAATACTTTCGTTAATCAACGAAACAGCTGCTTCGACGCTGTGCGCACAACCTGACCAGATCCTGCCACAAAGCTCTGGTTGTCCTGTACACGCACCCATGCATTTAATCTCCCCCTGACCCACACTTGACCTTTACATTAGGAGGCGCTGTCATGAGGCTGGGCCCTTTTAGCCCTGCAGACTTTAGCCATTTCTAGGTGCTGAGACTGTTGTCACAAAACTCATATGTCCATCTCCCGCTACTACCTCTGACTAGGGTTGTTAGAAGTATCGAGAACGAGATTTGATACCAAGGCTAGAATCGAAACGAAATGCTGATATGAACAAGTATTGAAACTAAAAATGTTACTCATGGGTGCGCTGTAACTTTTTGTTTGGGGGTCCGTCACCTGGACGCGTCATTGCTCTGCCTGGAATGTTCCACAGTGTGACATTAAACGGTTTGAGCTTACATTTATTCAATTACAGATGGTTTTGTAGCTCAAAGATGCCTGGAAAAACAAATCTGAAAACAAAAATGACCTGCAACTTGGTCTGGTTTATTCTCCATGGAGATCGAAAGGTTTGACTTCATACTGTGAAACATTCCAGGCAAAGCAATAACATGTCGGTGGAGAAAAGCATTTGACGGACCCTCCACCAAAAAAGTTACACAATGCACCTTTATAAACATTACAGCCAGTCTTATACGAACTTTATCAGAACTAGGATAAGACCACATGGTGATATTTAGTTGAAGATGACATCCTGTTGTCTTAAAAAGAACCTTATTATCATTGTGGTCTCGAAATCTGAATCCAGTATCGAGCCAAATCCTTAAAATCGAAATAATTAGAAGTTTTAGTACCGCGACACTACCTCTGACCCACACTTGACATGACCACCTTTTATTTTCTGCCACTCAAAAGCAATAGTGTCATCCTTCGTTGTCTTTTCTCCAATCCTCCGATGATTTAAAAAAAAAACGTCCAAACTCATCCGCAACCGTTTTTTAACCGTCGATCCTAAAAGTGTCTTCGATTTGCTCCTCAGATACGGCAGTCCAGTAGTCTTGAGCAGGCACGGCTCTCGTCTCCCGCCACTGTTCCGCCTCTGCTACCTCCTCGCCCGCTAGCTAGCTACCTCTTCTAGAAATCTTCCTCGCGCTCTCTTGCTACCTCTGCGTGCCCCCCTTCCCCACCTCTCTCCGCTACCTCCCGTTTTCCTCGTCGGTTTTTCTTTCGTTCTCCTCTCCTCCCAAGTGCCCACGTGACTGCTGCATCACTCACCGCCGACCCCTTCCCCAGTGTGTCGGAGACTACACTACAGTCATTCACTCTCATCCACTGTGCCCCCCCCCCTTCTCCCGGTCGACATCAGGCTCGTCACCTCCTGAATATTACGGGGATTTCCTTATAACATATATTATCTGAAATTGCTAATTTTGTGTTAATGGTAATGTATTTTTAAGAATTGTGTAGATGGAAGTTCTCTCTGTTTAAAAGTTTGTAGATTTTTCTTTCTTTTTTATTTTGTACGGGGGTCTGTTGGTACTTGGACCTTGAACACTGTCAAATAAACTGTGTTTTGTATGACGTCGTTGTCTCGCCGTTTTAATGTTTGTACTGAACGTCAGTGGTGTGGTGGGGATTTTATTTAAGTGGGGGTACGCGATTCGGGACGTCATCGATGACGCCTCCCCTCCATATTAATATTAACGCCGTTCATCATGATCTTCAAAATACATGTGCCCAAGACTGAACCAGGTCTAAATCAGATCCAAACCAGGACCAAGCCAGAACTGAACCAGGTCTAAACCAGGCCCAAACCAGGCCCGAACCAGGTGTAAACCAGGCCCAAACCAGGACTGAACCAGGTCTAAACCAGGCCCAAACCAGGACCAAGCCAGAACTGAACCAGGTCTAAACCAGGCCCAAACCAGGCCCGAACCAGGTGTAAACCAGGCCCAAACCAGGACTGAACCAGGTCTAAACCAGGTCCAAACCAGGACCAAGTCAGAACTGAACCAGGTCCAAACCAGGACCAAGCCAGAACTGAACCAGGTCTAAACCAGGTCCAAACCAGGACCAAGCCAGGACTGAACCAGGTCTAAACCAGGTCCAAACCAGGACCAAGCCAGGACTGAACCAGGTCTAAACCAGGCCCAAACCAGGCCCGAACCAGGTGTAAACCAGGCCCAAACCAGGACTGAACCAGGTCTAAACCAGGTCCAAACCAGGACCAAGCCAGAACTGAACCAGGTCTAAACCAGGAAACCAGCCAAACAGGCCCGAACCAGGTGTAAACCAGGCCCAAACCAGGACTGAACCAGGTCTAAACCAGGTCCAAACCAGGACCAAGCCAGAACTGAACCAGGTCTAAACCAGGCCCAAACCAGGCCCGAACCAGGTGTAAACCAGGCCCAAACCAGGACTGAACCAGGTCTAAACCAGGTCCAAACCAGGACCAAGCCAGAACTGAACCAGGTCCAAACCAGGACCAAGCCAGAACTGAACCAGGTCTAAACCAGGTCCAAACCAGGACCAAGCCAGGACTGAACCAGGTCTAAACCAGGTCCAAACCAGGACCAAGCCAGGACTGAACCAGGTCTAAACCAGGTCCAAACCAGGACCAAACCAGAACTGAACCAGGTCTAAACCAGGACCAAACTAGGACCAAACCAGAACTAAACCAGGACTGAACCAGGTCTAAACCAGGTCCAAACCAGGACCAAGCCAGAACTGAACCAGGTCCAAACCAGGACCAAGCCAGAACTGAACCAGGTCTAAACCAGGACCAAGCCAGAACTGAACCAGGTCTAAACCAGGACCAAACCAGGTCTGAACCAGGTCTAAACCGGGTCTAAACCAGGACTAAACTGGGACTAAGCCAGGTCTAATCCAGGACCAGAACTGAACCAGGTCTAAATCGGGACTGAACCAGGACTAAACTGGGACTAAACTAGAACTAAACCAGGTCTAAAACCAGGACTATTGGTACTGGTACAACTGGTTCAGTCCTGGTTCAGTCCTGGTTCAGTCCTGGTTCAGTCCTGGTTCAGTCCTGGTTCAGTCCTGGTCCTTCATGTCTCAGGTCACTATAGGACAGTAGTGCAGATATCATGAGTTTGTGCAGGTTGTTTTCACCGTTGCCAGTAGCTCCGGATTGACATTTAAATTGTAGCTATTTTATATTTGTTATTTTTTTAATATCTCACGTCGGTAGAAGTGGGTCGATGGCGTACCCCTGTGTGCGTACCCCTGTGTGCGTACCCCTGTGTGCGTACCCCTGTGTGCGTACCCCTGCGTGCGTACCCCTGCGTGCGTACCCCTGTGTGCGTACCCCTGTGTGCCCACCCACTGCACCCCTGCTAAATGTTATATTAAGGGTGCACTGTGAAACTTTTCTGGTGAAGAGTCTCAAATGCTTTTCTCCATGAAGATGTTATTGCTTTGTTTAAAATGTTTCGCAGTATGGTATTAAACCTTTCTATCTGCATGGAGACCAAACCAGAAGTTACAGGTCAGATCTGTGGAGAGGCAAACCCGCTCACACTCAGAATGCACGTTTTAAGCTATAAAATCACCTGTAATTGAATAAATATAAGGTAGAGCTGTTTAAAGTCATACCGTGGAACATTCCAGACAGAGCAACGACATCTCCATATAAAGAAGCAGGTGATGGACCCCAACCAAAAAGTTACAGTGCAGCTTTAATGTGTTACTTAATGCTCACATCTCAATTGTCTTCTCCTTGCTTCCTCCTCTGTCCTCTATTTTTCAGCTGTCAATCAAACGCCGTATTACGCGGTGTCCCAAAGCTCTGAGGAGGCAAGGAAAGGAAACCACCGAGAAATCTGATCAAACAAATCAAACTAATCTCACAGTGAGGAGTTTGTATTATTGCAGCTGTACAGGGAGCGCAGGGACAGCAGCAAAGGACGTTTGACACGACTCGTAATTCAGAATTTGACACTGAACACATTTTATTAGAGTTACACACATCTGAAAATAACCTAAAAAAAAAAAAAAAAAAAACAAAACTGATTGCCTGACAAACTGTCCTGATTTTGGCATGAACACCAGTTTAAAAATATGTTCAAACACATCTGGAAATCTGAAAAACTTGGTATAGTAATTATGTAAGTCTTTATTTCTATAGCGCTTTTCAAAGACATTTTTGTCACAAAGACACTTTACAGAGCATCATTCAGCTTTATTCATTCACTCTAAACCTGCTGATGGTAAGATACTATTGTATTGGCGGCAGTAGCTCAGTTGGTAGAGCATTTGCCCACTGATCTGAAGGTTGGTGGTTTGAATCCAGCTCTTGATATAAAAACATTGCAGGTTGAAAGGTCAGATCCACTGACCCACAGGTTGACTGGTGTGATTCCAGCTCCCACAGATGAATGCTGCTGTTGTGTCCTTGGGCAAGACACTTAACCCACCTTGCCCACAGTGTCTGCGTACACTGGTGTGTGAATGTGTGAGTGAATGGGTGAGTGGTTCCTTGTTGTAAAGTGCCTTGAAGGTAGAAAAGCGCTGTAAAAAAAATGTGACCATTTACCATTGTAGCCACAGCTGCCCCGGGGCAGACTGACAGAAGCGCAGCTGCCAAGCCAATCGGCGCCATCGGTCCCTCCGTCCACCACCATCACTTTCATACTAAGCAATGTGGGTGAAGTGCCTTGCCTAAGGACACAACAACAGTTATTCCCACTGGCGCCCCCCTGTGGGACCTGATTTTCCCATTCCATCCAAGTACTAACCAGGCCCAGCCTTGTTTAGCTTTTGAGATCTGACAGGATCGTGTTTTTACAAGCCGGTATGGCCACGGTACGGTGTCACTCTGATATATCATTCCTGTAATAATATTGAAATAAGCCTTCGTACAGGGCAAATAGAAATTGGTGTAATGGCTGTACTTTGCCCCTGGGTCATAGTGTGGACACCCCTAGACCACAGTGCTTTAGGTTGAGAGTGGAAACCCACACAGACACAATATTGTACAGGCCTGACATTTATTGATTGAGCATTGCAATTCAGTTTTTTGTATGTCCCCAAAAACACAACAGCAGGATTTAAAATTGTTGATTTAAGCAACAGAAATCCAACAGTGAAACAGTCTTTGGTCAGTTAGAAACAGATTAAACCAACATTCATAGAAAACAAACATATGGAAGCAAACTGTCCCAGAACACCTCCTGTCCTCAGACCCTGGAGATGGAGAGATCCTCTTTTCATCCACACTTTTCATCCACTCTTCATTCGTGGTGGATTTCATCATTTACAGGATCACCACAAGATGTTGTCTGTTTACTTGATCTCTTGTTCCCACATCCACAGCCTGCGCTCGCTGGTCGCTCCGTACGCCGGTCTAATCCGGGCGTGTAATCTGGAGAGAGGAGCCAGATTGAGCCATGATGATGATATAGAGAGGGATGAGACGGGGCAGAGGGGGCGATTACTGTCCGGAGTGAGGAGGGGGAGGGGGCGCAGGCAGGAGGGCATGTGTGGTCTATAAACGTACAGCGGTTTAAGCTGCTAACACCCTCTCATCATCGACCGCTGGAACCTGTGTGGATTATGCACACGGATCACTTTACTTCAGACGGCCTGAGTGCTACGACCACTTCATGGACGCGAGAGAGGAGGGTGGAATTTTATGACACTTCCCAGCACTGGAAGATTAGACTCTAACCACTGCCCAGAAACAAGACGAGGCTCAAGCTGGTTTAGCTGTAGGTAGAACTGCATCAACAAACCATTTCATCTCAATTATTAAAGATTTACTTTTTTCCAGACTTTTTTCTCTTTTGTTTAGTTTTCCTTAAAAACAACGACAACAACAGCATAACATTTTATTGTGCTATATTAGTGTGACCAGGTGTCCCTATTTACCCGGGACAGTCCCACTTTCGAGTCCTGTGTCCCCTGTCCCAGTACATTCATACAAAACCAGTGATTTGTCCCAGTTTTTCACAAGAAATGTCCCAAGTGTCACTATTTCTTGACCAATTTGCTACCTGCGAACAATAAAGAGAGGGATACATTTTCATTTGTTTAGCCAAAATGCAAAATGCAAAATGCAAAAAAAAAACATGCTTAGAAATACTGAGGGTCTGTTTATACAAGAGAGCTTGCAGGTAAAAAATGAGAAAATATTTTATCAGAAGGGTTTTGTTTAGACCAGGGGTGTCAAACGCCAAAATTAAAAACTGGGACTAAGTCGTGGGCCAAACTAAATATTTAATGAAAAATTTCAACAACATCTGCATGTTTTCTTTTATTTTGAGATATGTAATGTTAAACCTTTTCTTATTAAAATGAATGTTTAATAATAATTTTGCTTAAACATTGAATCCAGAACAAGTATAATATAAAATAATAACAACATTTTAAAATAAGTAATGTTTCTATAGTCTATCTGTAGCCAGCGGGCAGCTCAAATACATATTTGATATGATCTCGAGGGCCAAATATAATTATATTGTGGGCTAAATTTGGCCCCCAGGCCGAAGTCTGACATGTCTGGTTTAGACGGTGATGGCGTTTTTGGGGCTTAAAAACACAAAATCTGAAACCACCCTCCA